TGCATGTTTCTTTTCGGTACGCATTTCTAGTCTATGAATTTCTTGTCTGCGCCACTGTAGATTAGAGCAGGGCAAGCCAAGTTGAGGATTGACAATCAAATTCAATCAAATATGTTTGGCTGGAAGGGAAGGTTGGATGAATAAGGGGGTGCGAAAAAATAAGGAAAACTAATGGAAAATGGATTTGGAGCTAGATAGGTAGATGGATGGATAGCCAGATAATTGCAGTAGATGGATGGATAGACAGTTCCCATGTATAGATAGATCATGTTCCAATGTGACTAAGTGTCACTCAAGTGTCTACGCGTGAAATCTGATGTAAAAATGCCGAGACGAGGACATTGGCAGCTTCCTGCTGCCATGTAAATGATAATAAAAAAGCAAGCCTTGGTGACGGCCGTTTGGAAAAATCTACAGGTCTCAAGCTCACAAGTCTCAAAGGAAAGCTAGGTATGGAAGTAGACAGACAGGCAAACAAACAGACAGGTGGACAAAGAGAGACACAGAGAGAGAGAGAGATGTATACTGTGCATATTTTTGGGTAGATGGATATATGCGCGTGTGTATCTATACTACATATGCAGTTGCAGTAGTAGACAAATATATGCATGGAAAACAATGTACTGTAATTAATATGAAGTCATTATATAAATCGATTGCGGTAATATTTTTGATAGACAGGAGCCAGGGATCAGAAAGCGATCACAAATGTCGAACCGTTTTGATGAACAATGATGAACGTCGAGTGTTGTGATTCAAAGGAACCTATTGTTGATCAATTCTTTCAACTTTCAAATGCTGTCCGTGCCCTAGAAGAAGCTGCGGATGCAGCATGATACAACAGGTGCAATGGGGTTTTGGATGGATGCTCTGAACAAAAGCTGCACAGAGTTTGAGAGCAGACACTCACAATTCAAAGTCCCGCTGGCTTGAACAAAGTACTTGACTATTGAGAGATTCAGTTGAAGCCGAGAAATCGAGCTGGAGGGAGAGGGAGAGAGTAAGACACCGTAGCGTACTTGTCGGCATGCATTTTCTAAGCTGACCTGTCACTTTGTACATCCGCAGGGCAGAGACCGTCGCCTCCCAAATGTGGCCGGCAAGCTCACTAGCGATCGCTTCTCTCTCTTCATCTGTGCTGCACAGTTCGATGGCTTCCTGATCAAATTGCATGATGCTGCGACAGTCAAACGAATCTCGCAACAGTTTATGAAAGCTCTTTGACAGTTGCTCATCATTGCTTATCAATCTCAAAGAATTGTGATAAGTCCAATTTGCTGCAAGACTCACTGCTGAGAAAAAATCTCGAGCGGCCGAGAAAAATAACTAAAGCACACTAAATAAAACAACGGGACATGTCGATGCCACTGTTTTTCAGCTTCAGCTCCAGTCCTGTACTGCACGGCTTCCACGTTGGCGGAGCGAGAGCTGCCACACGTGCCCTTCAAACCGTGAATTAAAAAAACAGCAGCAGAACCATTGCGTGGATATCATATGAAATCTGCTACCAAACAAGACAGCATGCTGGACATGGACAGAATCCTTCAATTTCTCCGTTTCAGAATGTTTTCATTGAACAATCCCATCCCTGCCTGTGACCTGTGTCCCCACGAAATCTAAGAGGGTGGCCTGAGCTTCCTGCAGAGATGTTTGGATATAGCGTTGTGACGCTCTTTTGAGCGGGAGCGAGGGCCACACTTTCCGGTGCTGAATAAACATACACATACATACAGATAGGCATGCATACGTGCTTCGGATATCTTTGGGATGACAGATGACATCTACATTTACCCTCATGCAGCACACACACACACATACACGTACCCAAAAAATCACCTATGCATATGTTCGCGAAGACAGGAGCTGTCGCGGTCATTGTCTGCTGAGAGATGTTCTCACGGAACTGTGGTTAAACCTGATAACCTTCTTACCACTGCCCACTTCCCACCTTGCTGCTACTTGATGTCTCGTCTGATGAACGGGGCAAGTAGGCAGCCCATGAAGAGAACCTTCGACAGGAGTACAGTAAGTGTTCCCTTCTGTTCAACAAGCGGCACGCGATCGTTCGGTTATGGACCTGTTCAAAAAGTCAATGGTGTCAATGTATACACTTGAGCACTGTGCCTAGGCCCGAAACCTGTGTGATGTGGAAAGAGTCTGACAGGAACTAAGTGACGAGGATATGCATACAGGTCGTGACGGCAAGAGCTCGGCAAAGCAAGCCTAATAGTATCTGATATCCTTACATGATACATCATGATACATCATGAGACAACTGGTGCATGTTTCATGTTGATCTTGTTGGTGTCTTTCTGATCAGGTTTCTCACGCCTCAAGGCCTTCAAGTTGATTCACGGCCGTGGGTATCCCCGAATCATGAAACGTCGAGTGAGTCGCGTCGACCGAGTCGACCGAGCCGAAGGAGTCCAAGCCAAGCAGCTCATCAGCCACAATCTTCAGCCGCATGCTCAAGCATTGCGCAGGTAGGGGCATGATCTTCGCCATCTTGTGGGCGCAAAAGAATAACAAGATATGGCTGGCGGGGCGGAAGGGCAAGTTTCGGTGTGTCTCGGTGTGTCTCGGTGTGTCCCGATGTGTCGCCGCATGGCGCTTGAAGAGGCTTCAAAAGCATTCAAATGCATCACCTGTTCTGTGAGTGGCAGGATGTGGAATGCAAGGGATCGCTGTCACCCTCCTGCGAACCCAAAACTGCGCGGAGTCATTCATAGCAGCTTGTGCAGAAACAACTTACGGCACCAGAACATTAAGACATAGTAGGATAATCTGTGGCAAACTTAACAATCAAAAATCAAGCTAGGACAAAATGACGATGATCTTTTGTCTGCAAATCGAACAGCATTTTTTCTGACTAATCATTATCCAGCTTTGGCCAGGAACTTCTGCAATAAAGAAACCAGTGAAGGCGGCCATCTTCGGACTTCGGTTACCCATTTCATGTCCTGCGCCAATGACGGCAGCCAAAAATGTCAATCCAATTAAGTGGGTACTGTGCACGTGCCTCCGGCATACTTCAGTCGCAAAGGTTCAAAGATTAAGGAAGGCGTTTCTCAGCCCCAAGCTCGCAGGACCGTTCAGGAACACTTCTTGGATCATCTTCGGTTCGCTCCGCTTCTTGATGTCTTATTATGCTTTCATCCCTCATTCTCTCTTTTTCCTTCCTCCATTCACAACACAACTTATCACAACCTCTTGCTAGTGGCACGTAATTTCTTAATCTCTCTGGAAAGGCACACGCACTTACAACTTTTGCCATGACCTGATGCTTGGTCCTCATATGTCCTGGTCCTTGCATCTAACAATATATGAATATGCTTATGACACAAAGACCCCAAATTAACAGAACTGCTGATTTAAGGCAGGAATATATGGAAAAAAAAATCGGGTTGCTTCAAAACCTCACTGCATGTCATAGATCAGCAACTGGAGACGGAGCGGAAGCAAACTCAGCAAACCAAAATCTTTCGTTCCAAGCCCAGCCGAGAGATGCGCAATCAAGCTGGAGGGAGCCAACATTTTAGTCACCAACATATTTAGCTCAGCCAATTCTTGAAATAAGGAACAAAAACATGACTGAGTTATGACAGTTATGATCAACTCATGCGATGTCGGGTATACAATTTACATATATGATATTATATATATGGGTGTGTGTGTGTGTACATACAGCCACACATAAATATATTACATATATATATATAGATATATATATATATATGTGTGTGTGCGTGCATATGTATATATATATAATCCCCCTTTGAATGAAGTGAGAGTGTTGGTGTTGAAAATTTTATAGTGATAATTCTGGAGACACTGACCCTCTTTCTGAAAATGCATCTATAGAATCAGAGACCCCAAGGTATTTTCAAGTTGACAATCTCTTTAGAATCGCTGCCCCCAAGTCACTCTCGTAGAGCCTTTTTTTGGTTGGGGGGGTTAGTTGGCCTTCTATAAAATCAGGCTCCCCAAGTGTCATTCATTGACAGCTGACCTGAATGCTCCAGTTGCTCTTGCCTACCTTACCTTATGCATTCCCAATTTTATAGAGCTCAAAGGCTCCAAGTGTTCACTGTCAACCTCTTCGATTTTTTACAAGGATGATCAAGGATGATGAAAGAATTGTTGTGGGAAATTGGTTCTGCCAATACTTCTCTATAGAATTGAAGAACATGACATACATCCAAAGAGAACATATCCCACTATAGAATCGCAGTGGCTAAGACTCTCTGCTGACTAGTACTCAGTGCTGTATTCAACATGAAATCTCTATAGAATCAGAGGCCCCAAGGTCCTCTATAAAATTGAAAGCGTTGACACTGGGTAGGTACCCCTAAACAAAGCAGGGGGTTAAAACGCACCATTTTCCAGGACCCAACGTTCTTGATTCTGTAGAGGAAATTCCAAGGGGGATCACATATATATATATGCGTGTGTGTGTGTGTGTGTGTGCATGGTATACACATAAGTCGGGGTAGGTTGCGCACCTGGCTTTGTAGATGCAAACCCGTATCTACAAATGTTCTTCTTATATAGGAAAGTGCTTCCATAAAATGATTCTGAATTGGACCTTTGTCCATTCTAATCTCTACAAACTGAGGTGGTCCTTTTTCAGTCGCTAAAGGCACCATCCAAAAAAATACGTTGCAAAAAGGTCTTCCCAGCTCTGCTTCGCAACCAGTACCACACAGGGAATCTGTCTACTAAAATCCGCCTGCGCTTAGCAGCGAGGGATACGAACCAACGGTCGGTCGGCACGGCTTCAGCTAGTGGGGTGCGCATTTTCAGGATCAACCCAGCGCCAAAAAGAATGTTTTCACTGTGGTAATTTGCACATGTTGTATATCGGTACAAAATTGTCCGAATGCGCCGTTTCGATCTGACGGCCACAACATCGGCTCCACTTGGGTCAACTTTTCCCAACTTGGCCCAAGTTGCGCTATCGTGGGCCCAACTCAAGTGGGCCCGAAGAGATCCAAATGGACCCCAAATTGAAGGAATGTGATGCACGACATGGAAGCCCAAGTCACATTCAAAATGGCGCAACTTGGGACCCTTTGGCGACAGCTTCAACACCAAGTTGGGCCCAACGGAGACACAACATGGGGAACATTGCTTCAAACAAGCGTCATCGATAGCAAAAAACGTGGAAAATACCAAGTTTGAGAATTCCAGATTGGGCCGTCTATGTCCGCATTTTGAAGCCATATGGGGGTTATCCAAAATTATGGTACCCGAAAACTGCCCTTACGCCGCGCTTTCGCGAACCTTTCGCGCCCTTTCGCGCCCCAGCAGAATCGGGACATGGGATTATGATCGGGTTTTCGTGTGCAAATTTGTCACAAAGATGCACAGGAGGATTGCATTTAAAAACATTACTGATTGGAGATCCTTTTTCAAAGCTGCTCTAGTTTCATTCCTGCTGTGCGTGATGAGTCTGTTCCAGTCCACAGAGTCGATGGCATTGGGCAAGTCAGTGTTCCTGTGAGGACGTTTGACTTCTGGACATTGGTTTCGCACCCATTCTTTGAAAAAGATTTTGAAGTTGCGACAATGCAGAAAGAACTAGCCTATTTTGGGCCAGGGTTGGGTCCGGGAGGATTCGCCTTTCGCGAACCTTTCGCGAACCTTTCGCGGATTTCTCGTCTAAAAAATGACATTTCAGAAACTAAATGTTTATGCAAGGGTGTCTTTTATAATTTTTGCCAATCATGCAGGGTGCCACTGCCAATTGTCAGAACATGGGACAATACGAAACAATCCTGTGGCAACAATTCTGCAAGGAAAACTACCAAATATGAATACTATATATTTGTAAATAGTGAGTGGTATTCAGACCTTTCGCAAACCTTACGCCGCGCTTTCGCGGCCTTTCGCCACTGCAGCAAAACACACACATCCATATCTGCAGATGTCACTCGGATACTAAAGGCCTTGCATGGGTTTTAGGACGACTCCCATATGGATTTCAACTCTGGCCAAAGTTGCTCCCAAATGGGTCCACGTTGGGGGGGTCCAAGTTGGGCCGAAGTTGGGGGCTTTGCTGGCCTTGGGGCAGCCCAGGTTGGGCCCAACCCGTACCAATTTTGCGAAGACAGGCTGAAAATAAGCATTTTTGTATTTTTATCGCTATTTTCAAGCGTTTTTTTCTAGTTTTTGAAGCAATGTTGCCCCCATTGGACATGTCTTGGGCCCAACTTCGGCGCCAGATGCCCCACAAAGGACCCAGTTGCGCATGCTAAGCCCAACTTGCGGACCAAACGTGCCCAAATAAATTGCGCAATGTTGGGGGTCAGTTGGGTTCAAGTTGGGCCCAAGTTGGAGCCAACTGGCCCAAGTTCCCCAACTTCAGGCCAAGACGGCCAAGTTTGACCCCAGGTTGGGCCAAGTATGCCCGCTTCTTTCCTCTCTGTCCTGTTCCCTGGGTGCGGGCGGTTTTCGTCGCGATTCGAATACCTATGCACAATGCTACTTGTCCTTACGCACGGGGCAACAAAACGCCATTCTCGGCAATTCTCGGAGAGCATAAGGCACTAGGCGGCCCGTCTTGTAGAGGAAATTCGGACCCCGATGAAATCCCCCCACTCCAGCTCACATCAGCTCACATCAGCTCCCAGCTCCTTGTAGGCCTGGCAGCCTGAGTCGATCTGTTCGCAAGCGAATTGCCACTGAGATTCAGCTTCCGGTACTCGGCCGTTGGCCCAATACCAAGCCGCCAAAGCCACGTGCGCGTCGGTGACACCCGGATCATTGCGAACAACCTGGCGATCAGTTTGTCCATGTCCTTGCCCTGTCACATACACGTGCACTTCTTCTTTCATGTAATCACTACGTTGCCACTACATCTTGTCACTACATCTTGTCACTACATCTTGTCACTACATTGCAGGACACGCACATCTCCTCTTGGCATTGCCAATATTTCAATATTTGCCAATGGCCAGCCTTCTCCATGATGAGCTGAGCTTCGGCTTCCCTACCAGCACCGAAGAGGGCGAGGCCAGTGTTTGCGCGGGACAAGGAAGCTTGACGAACCTCAATCACAACCAAGCAAGTGAATATAGAGTAATATAAATTTAGTAAGATATAGTGCGCTTAGTGCCAAGATTCTCAAATTATACAAATCTCCATGCTCGAACCAGGCGCCGCTTGTTGAGAAAGATTGAAAGAGCTAACCCGCTTGATATCGCGCGCAAATGTGTTCAGGTACTTAAAGCGTGTAGTCTACATCTGACATATAGAAATCTAATGAAATATATACATACAATTCTGACCTCCTCTCTTGTTTCCTGTCCGTTTGAAAGAGCCCTGGGCGATGATTCACGCACATTGCGCCGAGTATGTACGGGGGTATTCATGTACCTGCGCCCAAAGCATCCCAAAGCTGGAAAGGGAAAAGGAGAAATAGAATTGATATTTGATAGTGATATAGCGTCCTAAAGGGAACGTCCTGAAAAGCCCCGAGAGCTGAAAAGTTGTCGCGCCTCACCGTCAGCATCAAAGATCTGTGTTGCCTCTTCGTAGTCCTCGACCGCTTCGTCATATCGCCGGAGTTGTCCCAAGACATTGCCGCGAAAATTCAAAATCAACGGGTTCATGCCCAAGCCATCGCCTTCCTTCAAGAAGGGTTGTCCCACTGAGTACAATTGGCACTCAGTTGTGATATCGATTACATATCTGTTGCGCACATGTCAGAATATCATGCCGTTTCGAAAGAAATCTTCGAGCTGAACCATGTGTGGAAACAAACAAAATGTTGCCGAACAGTGGTGCCCAGCTTTGCCAAATAATGTTGCTGAGCCAAACGTTTTTTTGTTTGGGATACATCAGGATACCGAAATTCGTGGAACCAGTTGCTCTGAGATCAGCCGTCCTGAATTCTTGAGTTGCCTGGCATTGCAACATCAGCTCTTCCGTCCTTTGGTCGAAGGGCCTGAATGGCTTTTGTGTAGTCTTGTACAGCCCCATTCCAGTCTTGAAGGCCCTCCTGTGCAGGGCGCGCACGGCCACAAAAGGGACGGTTTGACAGCAGGCAAATATGTACTTTTACCTGCAATTTACAACGCAAATGAATGAAAGAGCGCTGAAACCAACAGCTGCGTATTTTTCATATAATATATATATATGTGTGTGTGTATATATATATATATTATATTATATATATATATATTTGTGCCGACAGTTGAGAGTGTCCCCTGCGAGTCAGGCGCTTTTGCAATCACTGCCTTTGCCAGCCCGCGCTTCACGAGAGCATCTGGGTACTCACTGTACATTACTCGGTCTGGATGTTCTCGGAAATCAACCTCCATGATGCTGATGCCGACATCGTAATCTTGGATTGCGCCTGCGACCTGTGACGTCTCCAGCGCATCTTTTTCAGATGGCTGGAAGGCTCTGTAAACTAGAAACGATTTGAAGAACCATGATAAACATTGATAAATCACGATAAACCATGATAAACCATGATATCAACGTACGTGTCTCAGCTGGTTTGGCAGACTGTGGCAGGAACACGGCTTGCTTTTCTTTAGTGAAAACTTTGGTGTTTTTTTTCTGAGCTATTGGACCCGCATGCGCCTTGTCGGGGCGAGTACCTTGAAGCAAATCGTTGTACACCACCCTTGCGCGCGCTCTGCCCAATCTAAGGCGAGCCCTCTCTTCAACAATTGCTTTGGCTGAAATGGTGCCGCTCTCCCATTTTTGAATCGCCTGAGCGCACAAAACCACCCCTAAATCACCCTCAAAAATGAACTTGGGATGATAGCTATGTTGGACAAAGCCGGGGACGCACAAGATTTAACAGAGTCATCAAACGCTTTGGTGGGAGCCTTACAAGCCTGGCACCATCTGGCGCGTCAAAATTGGAAAATCCGAAGAACTTCAAGTCGCATTACCCAGGGTTGTCTCCACCTCTTCATAGACTTCAGCAGCTCCAGGACCGTTTGGAGTGGATGCCAATTTGGCGAAAGCTCCTGCGATCTCATAGAGCTCTGCTTTTGTGGCCTCGGCAACCAGGGGCAACTGGGCGCAACCGGGCACAACTCAACAGGGTGATGGCGTGTGCCCTACCTCTCACACGACTTGATGGATCTCGTGTATCCGGGCCATACCCTGACGTGCTCTGGATATCTCTGGATCCTATTGGTGTCACTATAGTCTTCTGTAGTCTTTCAATGGCTGTTCGAACTGAAACAAGAATCCCCTTGTATAACTTTCCTGTCCAGGATGCAAACTAATCTTCAGAGGGTCCTGTGTGGCCGTTGGTTATGCAACTATGCAGTAACAATCTGAATTGCAAGTTGCGACATGTCAACAAACGTGAACCACAAGTAGTTCGGAAGAATGTGTCTGAAATCCAATGCCCAGTCTTGCTTGCCAGTGAGCTGGGCGTGACTCAGCCGCCGCTGGCAATGGGAAGCAGGCTGTTGCAAGCAGCAGCCGGCGAGACACAGGTAACACCTGCTCAGCTGCCAGATCAAGAAAGCTGAGAACCAACCATTCTAGGCACAAATGAACAGCCGCCCTTCTTGGTGGATACTCTGGCGCTACCAAGTCTGAACATCTGGTACACCCATCTATGTAAGTATAGTTGCGCACTGTCAAAGAAAGAATTTCTGTAAAGGCCACAACGTCATGTTCATACATGTGTAATTATACTTGTCTTTGCATATTATGGACACATGTGTCTTCGTGTCAGTACGTCCGTGTGTTTTTCATGCTCACAAGCAATAGAAATGAACATTGGCCTTCCAAAGCATGGGACAGCAGGATGCAGCAAAAACCCGCCTGAAACCTGTTCGAAACAAAACCAATATAGCGAGGCCCAGAACGAAATGAATCCCATAGCGCAAACGGCGCAAATAATGCAAATAGTAGCAGGAGGCGCAGTGAGGCGCAGGCTGCTCGACGGGCCATGGCCCGATTGATAGTGAGTCAACCAAGCTAGTGGAACTGCACAGGGACAACTTCGAACAAAAATCTCAAAATGTACTGTGAATCGAATTTTTGGGGGGTGCAAAATTGCAAAACATTGTGGGCGTGGGCAAATGCAAACACTCTCCGCTGGGCTGTGTTGTAACCAATTGCTTTCTTTTACGCATTGCCGAAACCACTTGGATTGTGGCATGTGTATTCAAATATGTTTATGTACTGTAGTCGTCTTATGAAATAAATGATGCCATGTCATACACGTTGCCTCACTTCCACATCCTTGGAGGTATGTATGTATGTATGTATGTATGTATGTATGTATGTACGTATGTATGTATGTCTGTATGTCTGTATGTCTGTATGTCTGTATGTCTGTATGTCTGTATGTCTGTATGTATGTGTGTCTGTGTGTCTGTATGTCTGTATGTCTGTAGGTCTGTATGTCTGTATGAATGTCTGTGTGTGTGTGTGTCTGTATATGTGTCCGTATGTGTGTCTGTATGTGTGTCTGTATGTATGTCTGTATGTGTGTCTGTATGTGTGTCTGTGTGTGTGTCTGTATGTGTGTCTGTATGTGTGTCTGTATGTGTGTATGTATGTGTGTCTGTATGTGTCTGTCTGTGTCTGTCTGCCTACCTGCCTGTCTGTCTGTCTGTATGTGTACCAGTATGTATGCATGGATGGATGGATGGATGGATGTATGATGATGTATGTATGTATGTGTACCCGTATGTATGTATGTGTACCAGTAGGTATGTATGTGTACCAGTAGGTATGCATGGATGGATGGATGTATGTATGTATGCGTACCAGTATGTATGTATGTGCGCCGGTATGTATGTGTGTGTGTGTACCAGTAGGATCCAGTATGTATGTATGTATGTATGTATGGATGGATGGATGGATGGATGGATGGATGTATGTACAGTATGTACAGTATGTATGTACAGTATGTACAGTATGTATGTATGTCTGTCTGTCTGTCTGTCTGTCTGGCTGTCTGTCTGTCTGTCTGGCTGTCTGTCTGTCTGTCTGTATGTCTGTGTGTGTGTGGATGTGTATGTACAGTATGCGAATGTATGTGTTTGTGTGTATATGTGTGTGTACATGTGCGTGTGTGTGTGTGTATGCGTGTGTGTCTGTGTATGTATGTGTGTATATGTGTGTATATGCGAGTTGGTGTCTATCTATGTTCCTTTGTGTATATGTGTACATGCATGCGTTTATGTGTACATGTGTATATATGTGTATATATGTGTATATATGTGTATATATGTGTATATATGTGTAAATATGTGTATATATGTGTATATATGTGTATATATGTGTATATATGTGTATATATGTGTATATATGTGTATATATGTGTATATATGTGTATATATGTGTATATATGTGTATATATGTGTATATGTCTACGTGTGTATAAGTGTGTATGTGTCTATATTTATCTCTCTCTTCCTGCGTGTGTGTGTGTAACATCTGGATAGATGTAAAACTTCCTTCCTTTTTCTTCCCTCTTCTCCCTTTTTAAATAATGCAGGGGGATGGAGGGGACATATGAGGCTCCATCCAACGAAGCTCCTCATATGATCCTAGGATATCACCAGGGACGCCTGGTGACGTACCTGCAGTTCGGAGTTTTTTTTTCGGAATAGCATGGGGCCAAGCTCAGAACCCCACCCACAATGTTACACAATTTGCTGCACTGTTGTCGCAATCTGGAATCAATGTTGGTCATTTACGATTTGTTCAGCTGCATCAGATCTAATCTGCATGTTTCAGGATTCAGTTCCTGCCGGATCATATAATGATCCATTCTTGTCTAGTGTGATTCCTATGGTGACTCCGACATGGTGCCATAGGGCCAATTGAGGCAACCCTGTTTAGGGTGAATGTCGACTGACTTGAATTCCGAATTCACACATTTTAATTTGGTAATTCGTTTAAGTAAAGTGCAACAGTCAGCCTTGCGGTTTGTCAATCTTTTCAGATGTCCCGCTGTTCCCGCGGTCCAAGGGATCCCAGTGCTCCGTTCTTTCAAGTGAAGCCATACCGAACATTCAGAAACCTCCGTTGTTTGCAGCAACTTTTGCAGTCACACGACATCATTTCAAGACATTGAGAAAAGGCAGGCACACGACTTTCAGGTGTGGTCCTTTTTCTTTTGATGGTTTTCTGGTGAGGTTAAACATTTTGTGCACCTAATTCGCTGGAACCTGGAAGCTGTTATATGCCAATGGGGGCAAGACTTGACCACGGTCCCGGTGCAGGGAATAATCGCACGACCTTTAGGAGTTAGGAACTGGGTCCTGTCTTTAATTAATTGTTTTGGTTTTCTTGTCTGTCATCAACTAGTCCCCCATTTGGTCCCTAATTTCCCCGCGTGCCTCTCCGTAATGTGTCGTGGGGTTTAGGTGTGTGCGCTGTTTTGGTCAGGTCCATTTCGCCGTGTAGGTTGGTTCCGGAGGTCCGTCTGTTCCCCTCCCCCCCTGCGCTGTTTTTGGCCGTCTGCCCGTCGTGCGTCCGCTTTTTTCTTCCTCTTGCCTTTCAGGGTTTTCCCGGCTCTGCCGGGTGTGTGTGTGTGTAACATCTGGATAGATGTAAAACTTCCTTCCTTTTTCTTCCCTCTTCTCCCTTTTTAAATAATGCAGGGGGATGGAGAGGACATATGAGGCTCCATCCAACGAAGCTCCTCATATGATCCTAGGATATCACCAGGGACGCCTGGTGACGTACCTGCAGTTCGGAGTTTTTTTTTTTCGGAATAGCATGGGGCCAAGCTCAGAACCCCACCCACAATGTTACACAATTTGCTGCACTGTTGTCGCAATCTGGAATCAATGTTGGTCATTTACGATTTGTTCAGCTGCATCAGATCTAATCTGCATGTTTCAGGATTCAGTTCCTGCCGGATCATATAATCATCCATTCTTGTCTAGTGTGTGTGTGCATATGCACATGCATATGTATATGTATATGCATATTTATCTGTATATGTACATGCATATTTAAATGCTCTATATGTACACGTATCTGTGCTGTCTGTCTGTCTGCCCGCATAAATACATGCTTGCATGCATGTGCATTTGCATTTTCATATTTACTTGTTATCCATCTAACATTGGTGCATATTCATAATTTATCTATCTCTGTGTGCGTGTGTGTGTGTGAAATGTTGATTGCCATTTTACAACAAAAAGAACTCTTGTTCACGTTTTTCCTCAATGCTTGCTTTCTTTCCCATGGCATCACCTGCAGGGTAGTTTGCCATTTTATTGCGTCTCACTAGCATGGGTTGGAATGTTAGAGCGCACTATATAGAGGTATTGTTCTTATGAAACGGCGGTGCAGCAGGGTCACTAGATAATATTATAGGATACATATATAATATAGTAATATATCTATCTATCTATCTATCTATCTATCTATATCTATATCTATATCTCTATCTCTATCTCTATCTCTATCTCTATCTCTATCTCTATCTATCTATATCTATATCTAAATCTAAATCTAAATCTGTGTGTGTGTGTGTTACTAATGAGTATCCATTTAATGAAATTTCTGCATATATATATATATACTGTCATAAGGATCGCACCCTAAAGTGTAGAGCCTCATGAAATGGAAAAATTGCAGATCCAATCGGCTGAAGATGGCTGAAGGATCCTCACCGAAATAAGGTTCTTAGAGATAGCAGCCTCCAAAATCCAAAGGCGATGGTACTCAGCACGAAAAACCTCAGAGCAATGCAAAGTGGCAAAGCGTTCGCTTTCTCTCAGGTCTAGCTACAGGTAATGCAAAGATATGGAAAGCCTGTCTTGTCCCTCTGATTCATTTATGATGCGAAGTTTCTTGGAAACACTCAAAACTAACTAGCAACGCGAATCACTTCCACTGCGATCTACAAAGTCTACAACGCCTGCTGTCAGCATCAGGTAGTAAAGTCATGCATCTTTCCAAACTTAACAAATTTGAAAAACAGCTATAAAAGGTTTGTAGCTTACACTAACTACATTGACTAGTCTGCCTTTCGCGGTTTCATCACAGGCTGCACCCTCTTCCTCTTGTAGAAGCTGCTTACGTTTAAGCGTGTGCAATTGCCGCAAGCACAACCGCAATTGGCTTCGTGCTTGGAAGCTTTCTCTTGCCAAACTTTGCTGGCCATATGTTCTCAACAAGCCAGATTTTGCTGGACCTGTTAGCGACTGCACATCGCTAAGGCGTTCAAACAAATCTAGGGCTGCATATGCTGCCAGTACATTGGTGCCAAGCCACTCAGTCTCCTTTCTTTCACTCAGTGCCCGCACTCGTCGACGCGCTCCCAATGAGGCCCCAGAAAGGTCCAAGAGCTTCAATAATCTTTTCCACTTCACCACTACCTCCTTTGCCACTGCACTATCTTTTGCTAGCTGGGGGTCAAAGTTTTGGATTGAAGTCAGCTGCAATTGTCGTGACTCATGGCTCTTGCGTGGGTAGGACTTCGGGCTTGACCATGACTGAAAATAAAGCACCTCCGCAGAGCTGCGCAGAATACGGGAAGCATCAGAGGCGAACATCAAAAGACGTGAGTCGTTTGGTTCGTCAGATTCAGTGTCTAATCTTCTGGTGACATTGGCGTCACCACGGTCAGGAACGCTTCTTGCACGAAGGCCTTCTTGCAAGATAGGCGTGTGTACCAGAAGCGAAAGAGACAGAGCCAGGGCAGTCTGCCCTTCCAGTGGTCTTCGGCTGCTACTTTGTGCATAAAGCCAAGCTGTCTCTGCAAGCTCTTCTATCTTCCAATCACTGCGGGTGTATCCGGGTCTTGGCAGGAGAGGCCGCCAATCGCGAGCATATCCAGGCAGTCTTGGGATCTGCCGGCCTAGAATGAGTTCAGTCACCATCGGTGCAAGATGTGCAAAGACATCAGAGGACCAAGCACCAGCTTCGCCAGCAGCTCTCAATAGCGTCAAAGGTTGCACAAGTTGCGGCTCCTTGGTGTGTGGTCCATCTCTTACAGCTGCAGCTGCAGCATTGAGAAAGCGCTGCATCGCATTTCGGGAATGTCGTGCTTGGACAGGATTTGTTCCTTCTGCTCTTTGGTGCCAGGTGAAAAGCACAGAAGCTGCACCACACATGCTTCGTAGCTTTGCGGGCGGCGCACCCGCTTCCTGCAAAGCACAAGCCGCAAGATCTAATAATTCAGGGGTCGCGCATGCCATTGATGCACGTGCCACTGCCTGCACTTGTACTTGACTCTGACTGTCACCTCCTGCGCGTGAACCCTTACCATCTGCAACCAAAAATGCCATGCCTTCCAAAAGGAGTGCAATGTCACTTGGCGTCATCGAAGTGACAACTTTCCAGCCAGCCAAAGGCCCGGAAAGCAAAGCTTGTAGTGCATCGCCTGCTTCTGGACTGTTGGCTAAGCCAATACTTTTGAGGGAAGCCAAGCTCTTCACTGCCGAGCATGCCTCGCCGGATCTGACTCCACCAATGCGGCTCGTGAGTTGGGTGAGAAGTGTTGCAACGAAAGCCTCTGCTTTGGTGCGGCTGCGATGCCTCCGCGGCCAACTTCCCGTTGCCAACTCAACCATGGCCTTCTCTGCCGGAAGATCATCTCTGGTTCTGGTCAAGGTTCCGGCCCCATCTGCGGCCACATAGCGCAAAGCCAAGATCAACTGCCTGGCGCCCAATCGTGACATGCCCCTCTGGTAAGTTTCGGGCGAGGTATGCCACAGCACAGGAACTGGAGGCGATTTTTGATACATCGGTGGGGACAAAAACGGTGGATCTCGAGCAAAGTTGGCTTCTTGAAGTTCATCCGGCCCCACTGCGACTTCCGCATCCATCTGCTCCGTCCATCCGTCAGATGGCAATGTTGCAAGAGCATTGGGTCTTGGGGCCACTTGTGGCAAGCAGTCTGCAACCCACAAGGGGACTTGATCTTGGAGCTTTACAATCCGGTCCTCGTCACCATGAGAGAGTAGGGCACCCCGGATACTGTCTCCTGCTTCCTCCCATACATGCAAATGATCATGATCAACCAGGCCGTTTTTGGCATAGAATTCTAGCCAAGGAATTACTAAACTGGGAGGAGCCTTTGCAAGGACGGGCGGCAAGCCTCTTGTCAGCATTCGATGTAATCGACCTGCCCAGTATCCTTCTGCGTGTGGCTTGGAAGCTGCAAGCTGCAAATGAAGGACTTCGCAGCATCTCCTAACAAAGTTGACAAGTTCCATCCCAACAGAAACAAAACAGATCGCAAAACGGTATGTTAGGTGAGAAATACTAGGCGCCAAACAACTGCAAAGGATCAGCAACGGAAGGAGAGCTCGAAAAGCCATTTCCTTTTCGTCATTGTTCTCATTGTTCTCATTGAATTTCAAAGCTGAGGTTTGCCGAGCAAGGCCTCGGACCAGCTTTCCAAGCGCAGAGACCTTCGCAAGGTGCCCATTTCGTTGGAGTTCAGGAAGCACGTAAGCCAGGGAAAGCAAAGGAAAGTCTGCAGAGTTTACCAGGATTCGCCGAGAAATCGATGACCAAAAATGTGACGCAGCAGTTGGCGTCACAGTCTCTGAGATCTTTGCATGCAGGGCCGGTAATGAGGGCGCTAATTGACGAAGCGGCAACTTGCGCAAACGGCGGCAAAGCGTCCTAAAGTCCTTGTTTGGGGTTTCCACTTCATCCATGAACGGAACCAGCTCCTGTGCACCCAACTGCTTGGGCGTTTGATTTGAGACCTTTGCTTTCGAAGTCCTCTTCAGATCAGCACGTCCCAGCTTTGCCTGTGAAAGAGGTCCTCGTTTTCTTGTGAAGCCCTCAGGGCCCTGTGGAGCATCCAAGTGGTCAATATCCAGTTTTTGAAGCGACTGGCACCGCATTAAGGTCTCAATATTCGCAGAACGAGTCAAGGCTGCAGCATGTTGTGCCCGGCGCCGAGCAAGCCGCACATGGGCAGCCATTTGCCAAGAAAATGCGCTGGACTGGGCATGGGATGTTGGATGATGTTGGAATGTGAAGGTGTGACATGAATATTACAACCTCAGCACACTTCTCAGATCTTGTCGTGGCTCATTGCCTTCACCCAATAGCTGATCAAGTCATAGGGGTTTTATGGTGTCTGCCCAAGCCTGACTTCAGCCAGGATATTTAGATGGATTGGAATCTATTTGAAGGCTCTCCCTATGATTCGCTTTGCGGCCGAAGCCTTTCTCTTAGATGATTTTGCTTCCTCTTTCCTTTGCCAATTTGTGGATACAATGAGCCTGGCTGATGTGGCGTGCCATGGTTGGCAAGCAGGTTTTCAAAAAGCATATCAGTTAGTTATGTACTCTTGGAGAAACTCAGTGTTGCTGGACTGGCATTCCAATATACAATGGGCCATATAACCATACATCCAACGTCAATGAAAATGTCTAGATCAGAAGGCAAGGTACCCAAATTCCTTGGCACAGCTGAGCCACAAAAACAACATGCAATGTCCCGACAGCCTAACATCACACAACCTCTTTTCGCACCCTGCACGGACCCAGGAGATCTTGAATCCGACAACATGGATGCTTCTTGTGTGGCCATGGACAGCCTTTCTCACTCTTTGTAGACAAACCTCAGGCTGCACAGAGAGTCAAGGATGCTTGCGGCACTCATGAGAGAAGTGAAGTGAAACCATCGTGATTAGAATTAGAGCATTGATTGATCATGGTTTACAGTATCCATGGTGCTAGTGATTGTTCCAGTTGTAAAAGTATGTAAAAGCCATCCCGTGCTTGTCAAGCCTTGTCACTTTCTTTCATGTTGGACAAGAGAGCTGTTCGTAAGAGGCTGGTCTCAAGAAACCGTAACAAAGAAATTCAAATCTGCCACGGGCAGACCTGTTTTCTGCCAAAGTGACGAGGTATGCCTGGCATTGTCCCACTCCACTGGTGGCTTATCGCCACTGCCTTGGGCTTTGAGAGCTTTTGGGCTGTGCTAGTGATGCATAGTGACTGCTTTTTTGGGTGCAGAATTCTCTGCGAAGAATGAAGGGAATTAGCATGCAGTTTATTGGAGTGTAACAAGAGCATGCATCTCTTCCACAGGGCCGAGAGGCCGCCATACTCTTGAATGAACTCCTCCATGGTGTAGGCCTTCCACCCGCACAACTCAGGGCTGCGGATGCATTTGTACATGTACACAGGCATACGTCTGTGAGATAGGGCCACAGAGAGAGAGAGAGAGAGCTGGACAGTTGTCTATACCCAATATCCTACATGTGGACTACAGCAACACGGGGAGGGAATAAAAACAACCAAATCAAACCAAACAGGTCCTGGCCCTATAGGACACCTACTCTAACAGAGTCTTGGCCCGTGTGTTTGCACCTGTCTTGCATCTGTTTCCATTGGTCGTCCCGCCGGGAACTTGACGGTGAAAGAACTTTTGTATTTAAATGCGAACAAGTTAAAAGCTTATCAATGGCCTGTGATGAAGTTGCAACTTGCTTTGCAATGACAAAGCTGGTTAAGAGACTGGGACCGACATCAGGCTCTGATCTAATCATATCTAGTCATGTCTAAATTAAGTACTGTAAGGAATCTCTCCTTCCATTGTGTTCCATTGGTGCGAAAATTTTGTCGAAGAGAGATTGACCTAGCAGAACCCTAGCTGCAGGCACCGTTTCGGAGTGCCATGTTGTTCTGGCTCCAACACAATCCAGTCTCTGTCACTAAAGATTTCCTGTATATCATGTATGTGTATATATATATATCATTTATATCATTTATATCATTTAAGGCCAGTCTATAGCAGGAAGCCATCCTGCTTTTGCAACTGCCTGTTCACTCTCGAGGCTGTCCCAAGCCTGTCCGTCAGCTGGGTCAATCCTTCGCTCCACGCCCTTTGCGAGAATTCGCGCCTGAGATCGGTTCCATCGGCAGCGACCTACAATGGCATAGAACATCACCACTCAAAATACAACTGAAAACGAAGCCGAATGAAAACACAAGCATTTCGTGCAACCAGCCGCTCACGGAATGTTTACTATCACTGCTGGTATGCAGAAGCTAGCAAAAAAGAACTACTGAATAAAACAATATAATATACATATATATACACTATAATATATACTATAATTTAATGTATACTATTATATAGATATATACGATGAACCCGGTACCCACCTCCATTCATAATAAAAAACTCTATCATTGCAAAGTAGTTTTCGTTTTCTTGGCGCGCTTAAACGCACATTGCATTAGATTGCACTACATGACATTACATTACATTACATTAGGCTGGCTACACATTAAATTGAAGTACGAGTACCTTGAGGCGCATGACATGTCATTACCTTGCGCTACAGTACATCACATACCATTGCATACCATCACGTACTATTACATGCATGCATGGATGGGTGGGTGGGTGCATGGGTGAGTGGGTGAGTGGATTGATGGAGAGATACAGAGATAGAGAGATAGAAGTGAATCATAGACAGCTAGATAAACAGACAGATAGATCAATGAATGGATGGATAGATAGCTAGCTAGTTGTCTAAATTACTATAGTAGATATAGATAGATATAGTAGATCATATAGTTGGTATAGTTGGTACGGTCGGTATTGTAGGTATAGTAGGTACAGTAGATATAGTAGGTATAGTAGGTATAGTAGGTAGGGTAGGTATAGTAGGTGCAGTAGGTACAGCACGCAAAATATCTGGATAGATCGATACAGAGATAGATGTTAATGTAGATATATAGGCAGAAAGAGACGGAGGTAAATACGTAGATACATAGATACAAGATGATACAAGTACGTGAATCTGCAGATACGCACGTAGATCTACACATACAGAGACACGTAGATACACAGATACACGGATACGCTGGATGGATGTGTAGATTGACACATAGTTAGATATAAAGCCAAAATCGTAAATAGATAGCTAGATTCGTAGGTAGATTCCTGGCGATAAAGGAGATACTTCAAGAGATACTGTACAATAGGTCCAATAGGTACGGTACATACAGGCGAATACAGTGGATACAGTAGATACAGTAGCTACTGTAAATACAGTAGCTAGATAGATAGATCCTCAAACAATTATATATAGATACAAGTTACAAGCCTATGCCCGGGGAAGTAGGACTGAAAAACCAGTCAAGCTCAAGGCAGCTTAGGACTTCAGCGTCATGTTCAACGAGTCTTCAACAATCCGAGGCACTTTCTTCATTTCAGTGTCATCGTCGCTGAATCCTTCCACCTCCTCTTCTTCACGCTTCCTGACGTCGCCTTTCTTCTTCTTCTTGTCCTCAACACCCGGTTCAGTACAGAAATCCTGTGAAATTCCTGCTGTCCTACTGATACAATTCAACTGCAGTCTGAAAGCCTACGGAGAAGTCACTCAGGGAAACAAAGCTCTTGTTTTTTTGGATCCTCTTGATTGATTTGGCACCTTTACGCCACAAAGTTTTGGCGGCGCATAGGTGCTAAGTAGAAAAAGTGAGACGCCAGTGCACTGACAACATCATCCATTTGCGTGCTGAGTTTGTCGAATTCTGCCTTTGCACAAGCGTCATCTATGCCATCCATGTCATCGCCTTCCGGCAAGCATGAACAAAGAGCGAGTAGGAAAGGCCAGTCGTCTAGCTCAACCTGTTTGGCATACACCAGGTATTGGGTGGAACCGGTAGGATGGCCAAGTGTGCGAGAGCACCGAACGAAAGCCAATTCCCCCGCCGGCAATTCAAAATCCCAATCCCCAAGCAGAGCAACACCTTCTGTTCCCCAGAAATCTCCATTTACCACTGTCTCGCAGAAGGCCCTCCATTCATTCAAGGCTCTGATGTTTGACGGTTGCAGCACTTGCCGCAAGTCTTTCCCATTTTGGGCATCTTCTGCAATGGCAAGATGTTCGAAGCCTGCACTTCGAAGCACAATTGGGCAGCCTTCCCATGTCGGTGCTGCAATCACAAATGGAGCTTTCAAACGCTCAAGGCCATTCTTGGCTACGTGCTGCAAGTGTTGGACTGGGTCTGTCACTTCAGACGAACTGCAGGAATCCAAGTCAAAGCGCGGCACTGCTGCGGTCAAAACTGGTGTGCTACCATCCTGCCATGGGTCATGGTCGGAGATTGACTTGAACCCCTCTGACTGTGCATCTATCTGTGCATCATCTACATCTTCCCATGCACCCCATGAATCGCTATCATCCTGTGCGCTTTGCTCTGGGACACCCAGAGCCTGGCCTGGCAATGCCAGTGGCAATGTCAGTGGCTCATTGCTCTCAAAGCATTCTGACTGCTGCATAATGAGAGCACCCAAATGATGTGGTCTGGTGCTCTTGCCTTTGACTTTGTCTTTGGATGTGTGCAAGTCGTTTGCATCCTTGTCGCTTGCCAGGGTCGAAGCTGTACTTCGGCTCCAGATTGAGCTTGTCTCTGCATCAGCTCTCTTGTTTGATCCTTTCCCTTTTAGCCCCTTGGCAACTTCATCTTTCCAGACTTGTTCAGCCACAGCATGAAATTTGTCAGAGCATAAGTCCATCTTTTCGGAAAGGGGTGGAAGGCCTCTAGAGGAAGCCATACTGTTCCAGTTGCGACAAATCTGTTCATAGGACAGGTCATCGCAAGCCGCCTCTAAGAGCTCTCCGACAGAAATGTCTGACGAAATTTCTGACACATCTCGCTGAAGTCCAACATGATAACTCCATCCCAAGACTGGATGCCTCATTTTGTGCCAAGTCATCTCGCAAACAAACAGCTCTCTGCCGTCCTTGCTGTTCCTAAGATTGACCAACAAGGACGATGGAGATCTTCCACTTGGCAAAATGCAGGAGGTCTCCACTGCTTTTGACATCCTTTGGATGGCGTCATTTGCCTGCTCTTCTGTCAGCCCTCTAGCTGCTATCACCTTGTTCAAGGTACTAGTTGACAAAGCAGTGCCTAGAAGCTCACTTGCTTTCTTTCCTGTGCATTCAGATGCATCGCATCCAAATATGCCTTCAAACTCTGTGCTGACATGTTGAACATAAAAACCACCCGATCTAGCATCACAAATGACGTAGCTAAACTTGTCTGTGTCTGTTCCGATCGAGGCTTTGTTGTGGTGTCGGTTGGGCTTGCCTCTCTTGGCTGATTGAGTGTGCTTTGGTCGGGTAAAATTTGGACCATTCGTCCGACTCCTCCTTACTGCACACTGCAGCATTCCACTAGGATGCCTGCTTCAGCGCGGAGTGGCTCTGGACACGACACAAAAAAGTCAAAGGTGGGAGATGTCACCTCTGGTCCTCCGGCGTCTTTCCGGTTCCTTTTGGAAGCGGTGCACTCAGAGGCGGCCCCTGTATGACCAAGCTTTCTCCCCTGACTTGTTCTTTGTCCTTTCTGGCCAGCTCTGTTGGCCAAAATCTCCCTCTTCAGGGCCCAAACAGCAGCAAAATTCTGAAGAACAAACAAAACAATAGTGACATGAAACATAAACAACTCAGGTCTCTTGGCGAAATGCTGTCCAAAAAAGGTGTGGCTTCAACCAGCTTGCACGTGCACCAAGACGATTCACTCGATGCTTAGTTGTTTGGTTTGTCCTTTCTGACACCTGATCTGCTACAATTTACTATGCCATTTGCTACACAATCTATTACAATTTGCCTCCACTGCGGTCCTTCATCTCAACCACCACTTCTGGAGGCGGAGGCAGCGGTGGCGCCGCATCCTCATCATCGTCTGAATCCAGGACCTCAACATGAGACATGATGAGACATCAACCGTATTTGAACTGCATTGGAGCTGCGTCCAAGCGCCGATGGTTTAGGTTGCCAAAATCATTCCGGTATGCTGCCCGAAAGACTGCCAAAAGACCGAAAGAATTCTATGATGAAAGACTTGGAGGCCCTGGGGTGGCCCACCCTGGAGTGAGCCTGCCAAAAAACCATTACCCGCTATTTAATAGCTGCAGGGTGCGAAGGATAATGTTGCCAGAAATCAAAAAATATATAGCATTTGACCTCAAAAAAAATGGAGAGGACTGTTGCAGTCGCCCAACTTTCACTCGTTCGGGGATGAGACATGTGAAATTTGGCTGTTGTAACAGTCCATTGTGATAGCAGCGGAGTCTACAGGTTGAAAGCGAAGCTGTCATCACACATTTGCTGCAGATGTCCGGAATATAATTGGATCAAAATAACAATAGTTCCGGGCCCTCCCCCCAAAAAAAAGTGCAGAGTTCCAGAAGCCCCTACAGAGGCACAGAAAAAACTATGCCATAGCCTCCCAAGAACCCAGGCGTGTCCAGAAGGCTGTGCGCAAGTGCTCCCCCTCTCCAGGCAACCACCCAAACAGTTCAGGAACAGGAGACAAGTAACAACATGTAACAACCATCAAAATATCGAACATGTCAGAAAGAAGCCCAACCATTGCCAAACGGTGCCACCCGAAACCCTCTACCCTGAAACAGGTGCAAAAAACGAAACCTGCCAGGCGGCCAGGCGAGGAAAAAAAAAATCCAAAACAATCTATATCTGTGTGTGTGTGCATGAAAGGTGGCTGAAGTCGTCCGAAAAAAATGGTTTATATATATACATGTTTCGAGAAAAATAGCAGTTTTTGCAGGAATGCTGCTTCTTCACAGGAATAGAGCACTGTCTTGAAGGAAAGATTCTTCGTTAAAGGGATTAAAGTAAGGGAAGCGGTTTTTCCAGGAATGCTGCATTTGATCATTCGAAATTCAATACTTGAATACTGTCCTGTCTGAGTATGTTAAAAACATACCGCATATTGTGCATTAGCATTGCATTCTCCAAGGGATCTTGTACCATGTGAGTAAGGCTTAATGCTTAACAGGAAGATTGCGTTTTGTCATGGGAACACCGCATCCTTGAGAGCGAGGCTTCATGCTTTGCAAAAATATTGCTAATTGAACTAACTGCTGTATCATCTGCAGGAAAGAATGCGACTTGCAAATGAAAAACTATTCTTTATCAGCAGGGTATGATACATTTTTCTAAGGAACACCGCCTCTTTCTACAGGAATGCTGCATGCAACCAGCATGCTGAATTTTGTGTTCGAAGAGAGTTTCTTTAAACAAGGGATGCAATCCTATGCAAGGAAAACTGCATATATATTTCGAGAGGAGTGTGTTGCTTTTTAAACAAGAAATGAATCAGTCAAAGGGAATTCCATAATTTTTGCATCTATGTTTCTGGAAAGAAGCACTGCATTGTTTTGAAGGAAGAGTGAAACCTCTCTCTCTCTCTCAGGATTTTCTTTGGTTAAGAGAGGTTCCTATTCCAGGAACACGATCTTGCACTTTTCAGGCAGAGGGCACATCACACAGGAATTTGTCATTTAAAGCATAAATATATATATACACCTCGCCAGTTTCGCTTGTTGATAAAAGATGATTGATATTGATTGATTAGGTTGGAAATGCACATGCATTTGTAGCTGCAACTCGCAATAGACTCATTGCACAGGAAGGTTCTTGGACGGGTTGAATATGTATGTACAGTATGGGTAACTAATTCTGGAATCTACCTCTCTGAATCCCACCAAAGATTCATGGAAGGGAGTTGAAATGGAATTGAAACACTGGTTTTGAGGCGGCCACAACAGTCTCGTCCCAAAAAGTCAGGGACGCATCAAATAAATTCAGTGGCTTGGAAGCCAAACCACCTGGATGGCCTTCTGGTTATCAAATGTATTGTTTCCGCATTGCTTTTTTGGAATCAATGCGTGCTCCTGTTGCGAGCTTGACTCTTCATCCAAAAGCATTCGGAAATCCCACTCCAGTTTCAGTAAATCTTCTTATCCTGAGCGCGGCACGCTGATGGGTGCATATTTCCGAAAGAGCTCAAAGTTGTCAGACTGCAACCTCAGCTGGCGCCCGATCGCAGTCACCGGAGTGCATGATCCATTCCTTCTTGCGGCTCGACAGCTGCGCTAGGCTCCTGGTCCCTACTTAGTGTACCTCTTCAACGATTTGACAAGTCAAACCCACCATTAGGCCACAAGAGCTTCTAACGGTTGAGTACAGCCAAGATATGCCAAGATGCTGTTTTTGCTGTTTCGGACTGAACAGGTGGATATGCCCACGAATCAGGTTCAAGCAGTCTGTAGCAATACTGCCCTGGCAAGAATGCACCGAGACACACGCGGCGAAATCGAAAAGTCTGGGCAAAGGTGCAGATTTAGAATGCACGTTCCGGGCGGGTAAAAAAATGAGGACCACAAAGCACAGCAGGTTTTGGACTTCGTGGAACTGGGGCTTCAGTAGACTCAGCGGACAGAGAAAAACTTTAACAGTCTAACAATGCATTTTCGTGATGACCGTGGTGAGTCCCTGCTCCATCTGCTTGCCTTCAGACCTTCAATGAATCTTCGATGTGCAACCTTGCTTGAGCTCCCAGCTCAAGACTGCAACAAGATGAAACAAGCTGCAACATCTGCAAGAAGGCTAGGGTACATTCCAGACCTTTCAGTGACGTGCGCTAAGGACACAAGAGCAACAAGTAGCAAGAAGAGGTCCAAAAGAGTCCAAAACGTCCACACATGTAACAAACGAATGTCAAAGTCTGAGCTGCTCAGCTCACGCCAAGTGGCAACGTTGTACAGCGGATTTGGTTTTATCCGACCCTCCTTCGCTGCCTGGACCACTGGAGCCCCATGGCACAAATGAAGAAATTTCAGCCAAGCCAGTCCGAGAAAGGACGTGATGAATTCCCGCCTTGCAAGCTTTGTAAAGCCATCGGAGGCGATCAATAGGTTTTTTGGGAAAAATCTCTTCCCACCTCAGACACATGATGAAAATTCATGAAACATGTGGCAAAACCGATGCAGAAATATGTTACAGCCATGACTACATGGCTGCTGGAAAGTTCAACTGTTCATGCGCATGCGTTGATTGCTTTGGGACTTGAGAAAGGCACGACATGGTTACATATTCCTCCTGTTCTTTGACCTCTTCCTCTTTGGTCACCTGATGTTCTGGCAGCGCCAGTCACCCTGATGTCTCATGTCTCTTTGGTCTCTTTGGTCTCTTCGCTCTCTCCCAATCTCTGCCGTCTTAGAGAATCTTCTCAAATCGCACCTTCTTCTTGCGCCTGGTCACGACCTGGACACGGACAGTCCAAAGGACAATCAGATTTAACAGATCCAAACAGCCTATTTTTGAAGTACTCCTTGCCGATTGTGCCAGCCATGGAATAGTTGGAATGTGCTATGAGCGCTATGAGCCCCAGCCTCGGCAGGCAAAGGTGCCTCCTCTCTTGGAGCGTCATCATCATCCTGGGCTGAAGCTCTGAACATTCTGATCAGTTTGCACCCAGACTGAGCAGTTGTGGGCATCGCTGGGAGGTTCATACCTCTGGAATCCTTTTGGGCCCTACACCCTGGCTCTACACCCTCCAATCAAATCCAACACGGAAAAACGAGTTGCTACCTTTCAACAATGCTTTGGCCTCGGTTTCAAAACGCCGAAATATGTTCGTATGTTCGCTCGAGCACTTCGGCTGAGGTCTTAGCATCTCCCCAAGCAGGGCGATCGCCCATAGCGACCTGGCAAGCCAAAATGCAAGCCGCATGGCTCGTGGTCGACATGGCCCAAGCAACTTAAAATCATGAGAAAACTCTTGGTTTAAAATTAATTCTTGTCAGCTTTTTGTTGCAGGCAGGTTTGAAACCTTCGGGGAGCCATTGGAGCTTGTTTCTGTGGCCAACGGTTGGCAGAACAAATGGCACTAAAACAGCAACATTAAAAGTTGATGATGTTGATGTGAGCATTTGCCAGAGCTTGGTGCAAGAGTTTGGCCAGACTTCTCACGTGAGACATCTGGCCGCAGCTGGCCACACCCTCTTGTGGTACTTCCCCCCTCGACAGGTACAAGCAAAGTTAAACTCAGAGCGCCCATTGCCTATCAAACAATATTGTTGAAATCAAGTTTGACTGCCGCTGGCATTTACACAATCATCGGGGTACAAACCGCAACGGGTTTGTAATTTCGCCACGAACGGAATACTACAGGAATGGATGCGCGCACAGCATTGATTTCAGGTGTCCCAATGTATTTGTTGTCGTCAATGGGCTAGTTTAGTCTGCATACAGTAGAAATAATTCAGCTGCGTGCACTTTCTTCCAATTTGAGAAAGAACATGATACATCATGCTACGCAATGTTTAGAGCCCAGTTGAGTTTAGGTCTAGGAACCATCAAAGACCCCGTAATCTTGCAAAAGCAAACCGATTTCCAATGTACGATTCCCGCCAGAGTTGCAGAGGTGATATTTTGCACATGAGTGCCCCAAAGAATATTCAAGGAGAAGCTTGACACTGCATGAGACTGAAAGTACCAGCAAATCCAGGGACGGGATATTTCAGGCTTGTGAATTCATTCAGCCAAATGAGGTTGTTGTATGTTGTTGTGCTCCTAAGTTGATTTAGCTGGGTTACATCAGATTTTACAGTGTGTATATATATATATAGAGATAAAGATATAGATATAGATATAGACATCTGGTGACTATATGTACAAATGCAATTATATATGTATATGCAATTATGTATACATAAATAACAACAACCATAAATAACAATCATAATTGGATTCATCCCTGCCCCTGATCATAATTCATATTCCGCCCAAACCAAACCATGATGAAATGTAGTGGATCGATTCATGAATCAGGGTCCCATACTTGGGGTGCTAACAAGTTCAGAGGATAGGATTATTTGGACAAAATTGATTTTGTTTGCAAGGGTGCAGAATGAGCCGCTCTAGCCCCGCAGTTCAGCGACATGTAACTCCTATGAAATGGCATGACCTATAAGCCAGTCGAAATCATTTGTGACATATAGATACAGATGCGGAACGACGTAATTAGATGTGTGTGTGTGTGTGTCCAGGCAGACCCCCGCTGCATACAGGAGGAACTTGCGGTACTTGCTACCATGTGAACAGCGCCAAATACGTTTTTTCAAGAGAGATCAATATAGGCCAACGTCACTGCTGGCATACCAATATGATTTGGAATAATTCAAGGCAAATTGAGTCTATGTTCAAGTCCCTTGGAGCCGGTTCAATGCCTTGCCCCAAACCCTTGTATGAGGTCCTGCACGAGACAGAGAAATCAACCGCGCCCTGAGACTAAGTTCCAGTAGCCTCGTCTACAAAACATTCACAGGGAGACAATCCATGTGTGCTTCCCATGGTCAACACGGGTCTATCTAACAAGAGCCAGGGCGACGCAAGCAGGGAGTCTGAAAACTGGATTCGCTGAGGGCCAAATGCGAAATACGAAAAGGCTGAACAAGTGGCACACTGATGTATAAAACAAAAGCTTGCAAAAGCATTGACAATTCAACCACAAGTACTAGCCTCCCTCAATTCGGAGAGCGTGCCGGCTCTACTGCAAACCCGAATGAGGTTATGAACCCAAAACTGCCACCAAAGGCCTACATAGGTTGAAAGGGTTCTCCAGCCTTCTGATGGGCAGGCGGAAATAGCTAGATAGGCAGGTAGGTAAGTAGGTAGGCAAACGGACAGGTACATCTGCAGAAAGGCAGCTAGGTAATGATAGGTAGATGCCATGCGGATAGGTCCGGTAGATAGGTAGACAACTACATATCTAGGTAGATAGCTACATAGGTGGATAGCTGTATAGGTGGGTAGCTGACATAGGCAGATAGCTACATAGGATTACATAGGTATATAGATAGCTAGATAGGTAGGTAGGTAGGTAGATAGAAATTTTGGCAGCGTGGTAGATAGATAGATAGATAGATAGGTCTGTAGATAGGTCTGTAGATAGGTCTGTAGATAGGTCTGTAGATAGACTTGATTCGATTCGATTTGATTCGGTTTGATTCAATGCAATTGATTAGATTATAGATTGGAGATAGATATCTGAGATAGATAGGATAGGAATGGATAGGATAGGAAAGGATAGGAAAGGCTAGGATAGGTAGGAAAGGATAGGATAGTATCCTGATAGGCAAGGATAGGATAGGACGGATAGATAGGATAGATAGGATGGGATAGAATAGGAAGAAAGATCGATAGATCGATAGATCGATCGATAGATAGATCGATAGATAGATAGATATAGATAGATAGATATAGATAGATAGATAGATAGGTAGATAGATAGATAGACAGACAAATAGTTCAGTTAGATAGATTAGATAGACTGACTGACTGGCTGACTGAGTGATTGATTCATCACATAGATTACATAGATTACATTGGCTACATAGATTACAGAGATTACATAGATTACATGGATTACATACACTAAATATGCTTCAATTGATTACATCGATTACATCGGTGACATCGGTTACATCGATTACACAGCTATACAGACAGCCAGCCAGCCAGCCAGCTAGATTTAAAAAAATAGATACACAGGTGTCATACATCAATATACTGGCGTTTTATATGTGTATCTGTGTATCAATTCGTTGTATGATGCTATGTGTATAGATGTGTATAGATAACATCTATGTAGAAGGAGAGAGATTGAGAGAGGGATGTATATACCGTGTGGATGGGAAATAGAAAGGTATTATATGCATGTATCTATATATATACATATACATATACATATACATATACATATATATATGTATATATGTATATATGTATATATGTATATATGTATATATGTATATATGTATATATGTATATATGCGTATTGTATACATGTATGCATACATCCCCAAGCCACTTCGGGCCTCAAATGCTTCAACTGCAATCACCGGCTTGCTGCACATACCCACAAGTGACTGGACTGCTTAGGCCCAGGCTCGGGCTTGGGCTGTCACACCACAACAGTTCTTACCTGCGGGTGCTGTACTAAAACATGATGACAACACAAAAACAAAACAAAACAACGCAAGAAGAAGCCAAAACAATTTTGTTCAGGTATGGCTATGTTTATGGGGTGTGATTTGACTGGCGCTGTCCAAGCACTCCACTCCTTCCCTTTTTCATTCGCAGGTGAAACGCTGTTCACAAAGAAGTACATATCTGTGCCATCTGATTTCCTTGGCTTCACATTTTTCGTTCAGTCTTTGGAACGTCTTGCTGGAAGCTTCTTCTTCTCCTTTGCAGCCCGCTTTTGTGCACGCCGCTCCTGACTGAAAAGCAAAGAGCGGCCACCTCTGGGTGAAAGTGTGCAGCACTCATTGCACGACAGAACATAGTGTAGGAGCAGGTTTCCAAACTACATGGAGGTCAGAACGTAAAACCAATGCTGAAATGACCATGCAATTTAAAATGCAAGTCCAAGAACCATTAAACCACGGACTGAAACACAAAACCACAACCAAACTTCCAGGATTCTTCGGAACCAGAAATCACAAGACAGGGCCAACAAGGAGTGCAATCGTAAGACCCTGGTGCAAGCATTGTAGACATGAATCATGCATTGCATAGCATTAGCATGCGTATGCCGCACATTTGTCTTCATACATCTTCAAATATGTTCATGCGTCTTCATACCTCTTCATACATGTGCACATGCATGCGCATATCTCATCTGCACGGGCATCTTGTATAGCTACATTCGAAAAATACACAAAATATCGTATACATGACATGTACGTTGCACATTTCAAGACGTGAAATGCCTTTTTTATCCGTTTCCGTAGGACCGTAGGAGGACAAAGAAGAAATATTATATATATATATTAGCATGGCGCTCTACCACGTTTTCTTTAGAGCTATTTTGTCCAAGTTTGGGTAATTATTGACCCTAAGTTTGGTAATTATTGTCCCCAACTTTTGGGAATTGTTGTCCCCAACTTTTGGGATTTGGGAATTTTTGTCCCCAACTTTTGGGAATTTTTGTCCCCAACTTTTGGGGATTTGGGAATTTTTGTCCCCAACTTTTGGGAATTTTTGTCCCCAACTTTTTTGGGGACAAAAATTCCCAAAAAGTTGGGGACAATAATTAAATTCCTATGGGAAAAGTTGGGGACAATAATTATTCCCATAGGAATTGAATTATTGTCCCCAACTGTTTGGGAATTTTTGTCCCCAACTTTTGGGGACAAAAATTCCCAAATCCCTAAAAGTTGGGGGCAAAAATCACCAAAAGTTGGGGACAAAAATTCCCAAATCCCTAAAAGTTGGGGGCAAAAAATCCCAAAAGTTGGGGACAAAAATCCCAAAAGTTGGGGACAAAAATTCCCAAATCACCAAAAGTTGGGGACAAAAATTGCCAAATCCCTAAAAGTTGGGGGCAAAAATTCCCAAAAGTTGGGGACAAAAATTCCCAAATCACCAAAAGTTGGGGACAAAAATTGCCAAAAGTTGGGGACAAAAATTCCAAAATTCCGAAAAGTTAGGGACAAAAAATCCCAAAAGTTAGGGACAAAAATTACCAAAAGTTAGGGACAAAAATTGTAAAACAGTGCCTAAAGAGATAGCCCAAAAACATGGTAGAGAGACATGCTAATATATATATATATATATCTCTCTCTCTATATATATCTATCCCTCTCCCTCTCCACTATACATATATTTAATTATTTACTTATTATTTTGTTATTTACGCCAGGACGCACGGAATGACGTGCAGAAAGATACAGAAAAACCTGCCGGTTTGGTTAGTCCTCAGCCTTGTCCCGCACCGAGGCACCCTTTTTATCCTGGATTGCTGGGAGCTGGCGTGTAGAACTTTAATGCGCTTTCGAAGGCATTTCCAGCGAAACAAGCAAAAGTCCCCGCAACCTGACTTTCACCTACTCATGTGGCGTCTCCTTCTTTCTCTCAGCCAAGAGCTTCCGTGCTTCCCTTCGACCATGAAAAAACGGAACCTGCAATGAGAACAGAAGCGGCAGCTGTCGGGTCAAGCACCGCTTGGATCCGAACTATACCCAAGGTTTACAGTCGTGATGCGAATGCTAGGATCCCGATGTGCATGTTGCAATCTTGGGGCGCCTAACCAATTAGACTGTCGAAAATCGTATTCAATTTGTTCGATTTTGTTCGCACTTGCATGGCAAGGCGGTACACCAAAGCAAGATAACAAGAAATGCGGGCATTGCATTTTTGCGTGCATTTGCAATATATGGAAACGATCTGTCGGAACAAAATGGTTCTGAGGTCTGGATGGTTTCTGCGACTGGCCTTGCCAGTGGTCTTGACTTTTTCTCGCTCCTGAGACTTGAGGCTTTTCTCTGCAGCACGTAGTTGCCCCAAGTGCTTCCTGGCAATCGCCAGCCATTCCTGCTGCATCCTACGCTCTCCTATATACTACGAGTGTTCTTTTCTGACACAAAACTTGTCTCCTCTGCTTGTCCTGCTGGAAGCGATGCTTGATCCTAAGCTGCGGGACTCATGGGGAGCTAAATGGCAGTTCGTCCTGAGCAGAAATCCAACTATCTGGACAAAGTTTCTCCCTGTTGAGCGTATTCTCAGCCTCAATGAGCTCAGGGTCCTCCAAGTTAAAGACAAAAAATGCTAGAAGCTGCTAGCAGCTATCAGCTAGCAAAACATATGCAAAAAGTGTTAAGTTTGGTCCGTCTGGTCCTGCAGTTTCTTTTTCTTCCTCTTCTGCAGGCTATTCTTGGCTTCTTGTAGTTTCTTCATTTCGTCCTCACGGTACCTTCCGAACCCAAAAAAACTCCTGGAATCTCAGACCTTTCCCACTTGCTGCAGCTATCTTGGGCGTAGTTCACAATGTTCCACATGTTCAGCTCAAGCGCCGCGGAAATGTCAACAGCTTCATGCCCACGCTCTGATCTGCAGGACCGGATCTATGCTGGGCACTCCTCCAAGAACGCATATGCTTTCCTCAAGATTTTTGCAGCATGGCAACAAGTCACTAACTACAGCAGTAATGAATAACTAAAGGAAAAAATGTTGAAACAAAAAATCGAACTTATGTTGTCCACAAAAGAGGTCACAAAAGTCATGCGAATCCATGTGGCATCCATTTCTTTGGAAACAACCCAATCTCCGCCAAAAGGACCGCTGAAATGAATCTCCTAATTTCTCCTGCATCCATCACTCTGCAATGCTTTGCCATATACACCCACTCTTCAGAAGCTAAGCAACGAAAATCCATCCATGTCAAAGGACCCGCTGGTATCATCAAAACGGGGATCCCGCGCGCGCATCGAGGCCACCTCTCTTGACACGGCAATCTTTTGGTATGCATGCAGTAAATGCATTAACTAAGACCTGCTAGGAACAGTCCAGAGCCGCTAAGCCGCTAAGGTTGGCTTAGATGTTCTCAAAGGTTCGTGTCATGTCAGTCCGCGACTGGCCTTGGCTCCTACTCTTGAAGCGCTGGCCACAGGTGGTGCGACAGGCCGTGAAGAAGACACTTCTTGGGGAGCCCCTTTCCTTGGCAAACTCGGCAAACTGAGTCACAGCAAGTTCTTTTGGGACGGACTCAAGAAAGCGTGATTGAACCGCAACAAATGCGCCAAAGCCGCCATTGGCACAAAGAGCCTTGCAGTCTTGATACCCCCAAAGCCGGCATTCATGTACAAATATGGCGGGCAAGTTTACTTTTCATGGTCTCGCCGAAATTCAACCGACAATTGTGACAGCCCTGTGCTTACGCTGGAATGAAATGAATGTGAATTGTAATTATATCGATTATTTGACGTCAACAACTGCTTTAAGCGGCCCTTCTTCCAAACAAACGGTCTCTCCCTGAATAAACTATGCATATGTAGTGCTCCTCAGGACAATTTCGAACCTTCTGCAGAGTCTCATTGAAAGACACATCAATTCATCAAGAAACAAATGCACTCTGGCAAGCCGGCACAGGAGAAGGGATTTGATTGAGCGGTTCTGCGGTCCAGCGATTGAGGGCGTTAGTTGGTTGATAAATAGTTTGATTGAATCTGTGAATGAGTGGAAGAGTGAGCCGTTTGGATAAGTTTGAGCTGAATCATTCTTCATGATTGAATGATCCATCGCTTGGAAAAGTGAAATTGCTGATTCATTGTATAGTGAACCCCTCACTGAGTGTGAGGGTTTGACTACAATTATTCAATGATACTGAAAATTGAGTCAGTTGGCTACGCAGTCCAGGCAGCATAATTCCCGAATTGTCTTTTGAGTTAATTATGGATTTCGTGAGCAAGCAAGTAGTGAGTAATTTAGGGCGTCGCCACTCACTGAGCCCGTGAGCGAATGGATTCCGAAAGTCCTTGGTGAGCTACTTGGTCAGTACCTAGTGGCCTACTGGACCAAGACCGTGAATCGCCTGTGATACTGTGATTAGGTGGGAAAGGAAACGAATCAAAGGTATAATAGACACATACAGACATACATACATACATACATGCATGCATGCATACATACATACATGCATACATACAAAAATACATACATACATACATTACGCTACGTACATACATTACGTTACCTTATGTTACGTTACGTTACATTACATTACATTGTATTACACACATTACATACATTACATACATTACATTACATACATTACATACATTACATACATTACATACGTTACATACATTACATACATTACATACATTACATACATTACATACATTACATACATTACATACATTACATACATTACATACATTACATACATTACATACATTACATACATTACATACATTACATACATAACATACATTACATTACATACATAACGTACATTACATTACATACATTACATACATTACATACATTACATACATTACATACATTACATACATTACATACATTACATACATTACATACATTACATACATTACATACATTACATACATTACATACTTTACATACATTACATACATTACATACATTACATACATTACATACATTACATACATTACATACATTTACATACATTACATACATTACATACATACATACATACATTACATTGCATTACATTCCATTACATTCCATTACATTACATACATACAAACATGACATACATGACATACATGACATACATGACATACATGACATACATTACATACATTACATACATTACATACATTACATACATTACATACATTACATACATACATACATACATACATTACATACATACATACATACATACATTACTTACATACATACATTACATACATTACATACATTACATACATTACATACATTACATACATTACATACATTACATACATTACATACATTACATACATTACATACATTACATACATTACATACATTACATACATTACATACATTACATACATTACAAACATTACATACATTACATACATTACAAACATTACATACATTACATACATTACATACATTACATACATTACATACATTACATACATTACATACATTACATACATTACATACATTACATACATTACATACATTACATACATTACATACATTACACACATTACATTCATTACATTCATGACATACATTACATACATTACATACATTACACACATTACATTCATTACATTCATGACATACATTACATACATTACATACAAAACATTACATACATTACATACATTACATACATTACATACATTACATACATTACATACATTACATACATTACATACATTACATACATAACATACATAACATACATAACATACATACATACATACATACATACATACATACATACATACATACATACATTAGTTACATTCATACATGAATTACATACATACATGCATGCATGCATACATACATACATTAGCTACATTCATACATTAATGACATACATTGCATGCATTACATGCATTACATACAGTACATACAGTACATACATTACATACATTACATACATTACATACATTACATGCATCACATACAATACATACATTACATACATTACATTTCTTACATACATTACATACATTGCATACATTGCATACATTACATTACATACACACATACATGACATGACATGACATGACATGACATGACATGACATTACATTACATTACATTACTATGTTGGACGAACAGATAGAATATGAAAAACTCCTAGGTCACAGATAGAATATGGAAAAAAACCTAAAAACCTAAGACCCCAAATAGCAGATAGAATATGCAAACAACATATGCAGATAGAATATGAACATATGATATATGTTCAATGTTGCATGTGTATGCAGTACAGTACTGCACTGCCTGCAGCCAGCACAGTATAACGACCAAAAAAAAATAATGCAACACATACAAAAACCATGAGATTGAATGTCACATCCTTCCAGCAAATAGTTTGCTCTCACTTTTTTTTCACCCCAAACTATGGTACGGTATGCAGCACGGCTGCCTGTACAACCAGGAACTTCTTATACCTTACATCCACTGTCTGGTTCACCAGTGCTATTCTGAAAACCAATTGTGAGCGCAGTGCAATGGAAAAACATGGAAAAGCAACTGGTCAATGTGAGTGCAATGCTCTATCTAGTGCTAGGGATAAAGGTGGTCACCAGTGCAATGGAAAAACCGGCCATTGTGTGGATGTCAAGGCACCTGATTGGGAACGTTCAAAGCAATATTGCAATGATACTTGCAGGAGCCCCACTTTCCATCAGAACCGAAGTACAATACTATTGTTCATTGATGTTTTCATTTCTACGCAGTATTGCAGTTGCTGCACTACACTTTCGCTGTAAATACTGAACGGTATCAGTCTTTGTGTGGTGGCTCTTCTTTCCTAAGCTTTCGAATTCTTGAAAGTTGATGTTTGATCAGTTTCATATCAGGGTTATCCGAATTCTCACCAATGAATGCGTCCAACATTAACTCCATGACTCTCAAGAGAGCTTGCCATGACGATCGTTGGAGTCCATAGCTGCGGCCATAGTGGGATGATGTGCTCGTGGCTGCGCGCCACACCTTGCCCACCGGATCAATTCCCAGATAGCACCCTGCAGGCCTCGTGTGAAGGTTCATGCTCCTGAGTTTGGCATATTCCGGTTGGAGATGCACAGCTGGGTTTCGAGAGCCATGATGGTGGGAAACATCACCTCCATCCTCTGTAGGCCCTGGAAGCACGTCACACTCATCACCGCTGCTTTCAGACTCACTATCATCAAACCACTCTACGTGCATGTCATGATCATCATTCTCCACGGCATCATATTCAGGACCGTACATACCGTCCCATTGTTCGGTTTCATCTTCTCCGCACTCAGGTTCATCTTGTTGACAGTCTTGAATCATTTTCCTGAAAAAACGATGCTTTTGGTCGGTATACAGTACAGTACTTGATCCATATTCTAACTGCATCACCATTGTCAACTTTTCAAATAACATTTAGCTTTGAACATCTCTGGGGTTACAATAGATGACAGTACAGTAATCACTCACAATCCTTCAAGGTGAGTTGACAGTCTTGAAACAGGTTTCCAATTACTTTACTTCGTGTGATCCCCACCATGACATTTATACATTTTGTTACTGGCAAATCTTCTGGCATTCTATCTGACATATCTTCTGGCATTCTATTCGGCATTCTATCTGGCATATCTTCTGGCATATTATCTACTCAAATCTTCTGGCGTTCTATCTGGCAAACATTCTGGCACTTTATCTGACATATCTTAATCACTCACAATCCTTCAAAGTGAGTTGACAGTC